GGAATCGATTAATATTTTTGAATAAAAAAATTATGGTGAAATGTAAAGGAATCAATTAATATTTTTGAATAAAAAATATGGTGCAAAAAATTAATAAAAAATGTAAATATATAAGTGGAAAAATAAAAATAAAATAAAAATGGGAATGACAGTTCAGTTCATACGAATTGAGATGGTGTTGTAGTTCAGTCTAATCTGTGTGATAGATCAGTGTTCACGGCGTGAGCCTTTCTCTCCTTTCTCCTCTCCTCAACACAGCCTTCTCAATAGGACTTTCTCCACTGGCTGCTTGGCTTATTCCTCCATATACGATACATACAGAGAAGGGAAAAGAAACATAGTGTCTTATCCGGGATAACAGTTGTTTATTAAGCTTCTGATCTCCCACTCACATGGTATAATTAAAAGTAGCGCTTTGTATAAAATGTGTCCAGATCCTACTACAAACAGCCTTGCAGGTGTGTTTGTCTTCACTGAATATACTCGCCGTTCCTAATGCAGTCAGCAAGCTACAACCATCTTCAAAAACCGCTCGTCACCACCGGCGTCCACATAGATGCGACTGTCACATGTATTTCCTTGCTACTAAATATTCCACGGTCAACTGTTAATGGTATTATAATAAAGTGGAAGCAACTGGGAACAACAGCAACTCAGCCACCAAGTGGTAGGCCACGTAAAATGGCAGCGCAGGGTGAGCACATGATGAAGTGCACAGTGCACAGAAGTCGCTGACAGTCTCCAGAGTCAATAGCTAAAGACCTCCAAACTTCATGCGGCCTTCAGATTAGCACAACAACAGAGAGCTTCATGGAATGGGTTTCCATGGCCAAGCAGCTGCATCCAAGCCTTACATCACCAAGTGCAATGCAAGCGGCAGATGCAGTGGTGTAAAGCACGCCGCCACTGGACTCTACAGCAGTGGAGACATGTTCTCTAGAGTGACGGATCACTCTTTGTCTGGCAATCTGATGGATGTGTCTGGGTTTGTCGGTTGCCAGGAGAACAATACTTGCCTGACTGCATTGTACCAAGTTTAAAGTTTAATGGAGGGGGGATTATGGTGTGGGGTAGTTTTTCAGGGGTTGGGCTGGGCCCCTTAGTTCCAGTGAAGGGAACTCTTAAGGTGTCAGCATAGACCTCCTGACCTCAACCCAACAGAACACCTTTGGGATGAGTTAGAGTGGAGACTGTGAGCCAGGCTTTCTCATCCAACATCACTGCCTGACCTCACAAATGCTCTTCTGGAAGAATGGTCAAACATTCCTATAGACACCCTCCTAAACCTTGTGGACGGCCTTCCCAGAAGAGTTGAAGCTGTTATAGCTGCAAAGGGCGGGGCCAACTCAATACTGAACCCTACGGACTAAGATTGGGATGCCATTAAAGATCATATGTGTGTAAAGGCAGGCGCCCCAATACTTTTGTCAATATAGTGTATATGTAAATGCTTAGCTAGCTATTGTACCACAACTTCTAATGTCAGGGATAAATGTCAAATAGAAAGACGAACTTGTCAGTAGTTTATTGTTTTTTGCCAATGTGTTGCTGACAGTTTCCATATGGGTCTGAAGATAAAGTCCAGGCAACTTTCCTTAAAGTGGAAGTAACCTCCCACTGGACACTTTTACCTACAGGTAAGCTTCTAATAAAGCTTACCTGTAAGTACAAGGAATATCTCCTAAGCGTGCACCATTTAGGAGATATTCAGGGTCCCTGCAGCCGATGACGTCACCGGCACATATGCTCTGAAGGAACAGCATACCCGTGCTGTTCCTTCAGAGCTCCGTGGACATGCGCAGGAGTGACGTCATCATGGCTTGGCCAATGAAGTTGCCAGAGCCCGCAAAGCCAGAAGAAGGACTTGCTGAAGATGGTTAGCCCTGTTAGCGCGCCACTGGAGAGCTTCGTTCTAAGGTAAGTCTTTCATAATGTGCTAGTATGCGATGCGTACTAGCACATGATGACAATATTTTTCAGAGGATTTTTTTTTTTAGGGCGGTTTACTACCACTTTAATAAACATATGAAAAACATATATTGGAACCATTTTACATGACAAAGAATTTTAATTTCTGTCCAGCCAGCCCTGAGAATTACACTGCTCTGTCAGACAGTTCAGCCACGCTGTTGACCTGATTATTATTTGCTTCAGCTAAGATATGCAAGTTGGTCAGCTCCCTGCCACAGGCATATGTGATTAGACAGTGAAGAAGCATCAGCATAGCATAGCATAGCTCATGCATTTGCTCGCTCCACCTGTAAGCATTAAGAATTATAATCCCCTGTGTGTGTGGCTTTCCTGATTAGCTCCTAGTGTTTCTCTTCCCTCCAGCCTGAGCCCTGCTGTAGAGGCAAGAGGCTAAAACCAAGCTACATTCAGGTCCTTCTACTAACTCAATGTAAAAATCAATTTTAATGATATTTAAATGAACACATAACTACAATACGTAAAGCAGTATTAAACCCAAAGCCAACAATGTGATATATTTCAATTTACCAATCATTAGATGTGGTGGCTGAATTCGTTTTCTTTTTTTGTTTTTCCCTTTGTTTTTACCTGGTGATCTGGCCAGCAACACACCTCCTGTATTAGAGTACCCCAACTCTGGATGAGGGAGCACAGGGAGTGCCTTTGGACAGCAGCATTGTCAGTCAAGGGGGAGGGGAGTGTTACATGGATTAGCAGATTTAGATACGCTAACAAATTGAAGCCAAACTTCAGTTCACACTGCAGTTACACAAGCAGTTGCAGCAACATTTTTTTTTTCTTTTGGGACAAAGGTTTTATATGAATAAATAAAAGCTGATCATTGGAAGCACTCCTGTCAGTGGTAAATGGTTTGTCTCAAAACTCTAACTGCTACTTTTTGTAGGAGAGCTAGTTCTGTTGAAAAATAACATACTTACTGGCCAGATCAGGTAGAAATAAAGGAAAGAAAGTCTAAAAAAGAAAACTAATGCAGCCATCACATATAGGAATTAGTAAGCTGCCACACTTATGTTTCCTGGTGGGAAAGGAATCTTAAAAGCATCAAAGTTAGGGGGGCTGCTGGTCACAAATCTGGAGCACACTGACATTATTATTACAGGTAGTTTTATAGTGCCAACAATGTATGCAGTGCTTTACATATATATATAGTACATTCACATCTGTCCCTAACCCTCAAGAGATGTATAATCTAAAGTCCTTAATTCACATTCATACATTCACATACTAGGGGCAATTTAGACAGGAGCCAATTAACCTTCCAGCATGTCTTTGGAGTGAGGGAGGAAACCGGAGTACCCGGAGGAAACCCACGCAGGCACAGGAAGAACAGGCAAACTCCAGGCAGGTAGTGCCATGGTTAGGATTTGAACCAATGACCCCAGTATTGCCAGGCAGAAGTGCTAACCATGTATTCACTGTGCTGCCCCTAAGGATAAGTTCACTTTAAAAAAATATAATTCATGCACATTTCTTGCAGATAAAAAATGTTAATTTACTATTTTTTCTTCCTGCCCTATTAATGTTCTCACTATTGAATCGTCATTTAAAACTGTCACGAGATGCTACCTGGTCCCATCTCGCTTAGCACACCTTCATCCTTCTGCCCCCGGTACCTGCTTCAGGGGCTGTTCTACTCCCAGAAATGTCCTCCATGTGTGGTGGACATGCCCCCTGCTCACCTGGTTTTACACAAAAGTCCTTAAACTCTTACAATCATTATTAACCTGACCCTTCTCTAAAGATCAGTGGTATGTTCTGTTACACCTGAAACCGCCGGGCCTCCTAAATACCAATTTAAACTGGCTACTTATTTATTCCTGGCGGCAAAACATACTATAGCAAAAGCTTGGAAACAACAGTTCACACCCTTTACGGAAGGCAGCTGCTGCTTGGATTTTTTTTTTCATTAATGAAAAGATTTCCAGCATCCTTTTATATACACATGAGAAATTTCTCAAAATATAGACCCCTTGGATCCAACGTGCCCATCCTACTATGTCAATAGCCAGTTACACATTACTATAAACATCGAGACTCGGGGCCCAAGCTTGAGCGCCTTGATGTCCTCTCCTACTTCTCTTTCTTTCTCTCCCTTTCTCTTTTCTTCTTTTTTCCTTATTTTCCAGGCTCTTCCGCAGGGATGATTTGTGCGTTGTTCTTATGTACTTTTTTGTTTTATTACCTGAATAGTGCATTTTTATACATTGATATTTCACGCACCAACGCCCGCTTTCTCAGGGTGTATGACTGTTCTTTTGTTACTTCTGATGTTCTTCCTTTGATGCAACATGGTCAAGGGACCACTCTGATGCACCATAAGCTTTGTTTTTGTTACGGTTTCTGTGTATGATGTACTACCGCCTCAGCTGGTAAAATATTGATTACAGGTTTCTATTTGTAAATATAACAGAGGTTACATTGTATACTTGGAAACATTTTTCAATAAACATTTATTGAAAGGATTTAGTAAGCTGCCAAAAAATTAATGTTTGCTTTAGGGTTTATTACTGCTTTAACATTTTGCCTGAAATTCCGATTTAAGAATGTCTTAAATAAGAATCGTGTAGAGAAATAGACTTCCTCTGATCTGAGTTGCTGAAGGCATCACAAAGTATACAGCTGCCACCCCAATCCCATTTAATTATCCTTCCCAACTGAGCTGGTTTAATGGAAATAGGGAAAAGCACCAAACTATAGGTCATGTATTTCTGTGCTAAATTAATATCTAAATGAACACAAGGTAGCAGAAAGCAATGCGGCTAGATAAGAAAAAAGGAATTATAGCAGATTTGCCATTTAGCACCCAATCAGAACCTTTCTTTAATTCTTCTTGTGTCATCCTTCGGGGTGAATTTGAATCTGATTGTTTAAACTAAGACATATCTGAAACTTTGATTAATGAGGCCTCTTTAATGCATTATTTATACATAATACATGGATGCACAAAGCAAAAATGACGCACCGACTGACAGAGATGTTTCATACTATATAATACATTTTCTTTTCTACAGGAAGATTATGACCAGCTTCGACCTCTCTCATACCCAAATACAGATGTGTTTCTGATTTGCTTCTCAGTCGTCAATCCAGCTTCGTATCACAATGTCCAGGAGGAATGGGTGTCAGAAGTCAGAGCCTACATGCCACATGTACCTTATGTCCTAATAGGAACACAGGTAAATGTACTGAACTGTACAGGACTTTAGGGAGCTAAAAAAAAGTGGCCCTGGCATATACATGTGTACAGTTGTGCTCAAAAGTTTGCATACCCTGGCAGAAACCTATGGGTTTCTCTTTGTATCCCAAACAATTCTTCTGGCAGTTATGGCTGCAATCTTTCTTGGTCTATCTGACCTTAGCTTGGACTTTCCACTTCTTAATAGGTGATTTAACAGTACTGATTGGCATATTCAAGGCTTTTGAAATGTTGTACTGGAAACAAATAAAATTTAAATTCTGGGCCTGTATCTTATTTTCTCACACACTACACTCATATAGAACATCAAGTGCCCTCTATAGATATTTGACCAGGATAACATAAGGTCTTGATTTATTTATTGCTTGCAGATAAAGGTGGTATATGTGAAAAAATGAGACAAAACTGACACGGTGTAGATATTTTAATGATCTAAATAAACAAAAAATGCACATCTGTCAAGTGGAAATTGTATTTTTTCAATTTCAATCCTACATTTACCACCACTTCAAATCCATGAAATTAGAATCCAATGTTCTATTGATCCAAATGAGGTACCAATGGTTAGAACCTCTTTAGGAGTATGCAGATGGAACTAGTGTTATTTAAACCTTACACATCCAAGGTCTGGTGTTTCTCTTTGCTACTGGAATGTTTGGTGTCATCATGCATTCCCTAAAGTTGGCCGTATATGGATCAAAATTCGGCTGGTTCAGCAGAGGAGATTAGATCCATGTATGGACAGACTGATTGTCCCCAAGTTGATCCATCGACTGACTTGAGTACAAACAGCCTGTCAGATTTTTGACTGCGACTGACACTGGCTGTGTTGATGGAGAGTCGAGTGATTTTCCTTCCACCTGAGGTGGAAGAAAAAAAAATCGAATCATCTATGGGCTGCCCAAGGCCTTTAGAAAAAAAGTTGTAAATGCTTGAGTTTGGCAAAATATCACAAAACGGTTTGAAATCAATCATTTCACTGTAAGGGACAAAATCAACAGGTAGTGGTGCACATTTCAAACTGCTAGTCCAGGACTGGCTAACCCAGCACACCCAAGAACTGACCTATTGATACTAAAAGAAAAAAAAAAAAACATAAAAATATTGAGTCATGGGGAGGTGTTTGCAAGTACAATCAGAAAGAGATTTCACAATTTCAGCCTCCATGAAAGTTGTGTAAAAAAAAAAAACAGTTGCTGTCCAAACAAAACATTGGAGCAAGCTTACAGTTTGCCATTGAACATACTGTATAGGCAATTACCAGGCCTTCTAAAAGTCTTTGCTGAGGACTGATCAAAGATAGAGTTGTTTGGTAACCGTAATAGTAGACATAGTTACAGAAAACCAAAGACACTATTGTAAATTAACAAAAAAATTTTATTAGTGTTTACAATTAGGAGCAGCAGCATTTATTTAGGAATTATTTCACTATTTTTTTGCGCTGGTGATTTTTTGTATATACTATTGTAGATTAACCTCAACTTACCTCAGCTTCAATTAACTGTGAAGCTTAGTGGTGGAAATGATACTGTTTGGAATTGCAATTGTAAGCAATGCTGGATGAGTTGTAATATCCTGCATTTTGATGGGTCTTTGCAGATAGGTGTAATGCAACATTACTATCAAGAAAGGTTAAAGATCAAAGGTTAAGAAAGGTTAAAGATCAAAGGTTAAGAAAGGTTAAAGAAATGTGGATCTTAAGGTTTACCAGTTTGTACATCTTATTTTTCTTGTAGATTGATCTACGAGATGACCCAAAAACACTGGCTCGACTTCTCCATATGAAAGAAAAACCAATTACCTATGAACAAGGAATGAAACTTGCAAAGATGGTAGGTTTTCTAATACTGATCAGGTTCTAATATCAGGTGAAGGGATAAATATAACAACAACAAGTTCAGGGGAAGAAAACTAGGCAGTTACCCATGGTCTTATTTCACTGGTCATGAGGAAGCAGAGTTGCAAGAGCCAAAGATGGGGTGGGGTCTCTTGCCTATACAGTTTTGGGGCTACAAGTATCCATTGATCTTGCAGTTAGCATCGGAAAGTTTTAATCTCATTGCTACCTATACATTATATAATCCAAATCCAGTCTTCTCACCCTGGATTGTTTTTAGTGTACTTACCTTTTTTAAAGTGGTTGTACAGGGTGAAGGTTTTTTACCTTCATGCATAGAATGCAAAAAACCTTCACCCTGTACAACCACTTTCAGTTTGCAGCTTCCTCCACAGCCCATCCTAATACTTACCTGAGCCCGATCTCGATCCAGCGTTGTGCATGAGAACAGCAGCTCTCCCAGGTGTCTCTCTCTTCTTTGCTTGAGGCACAGCAGTGGGAGCCATTGTCTCTCGCTGCTGTCAATCACAGCCAGTGAGGAGGGAGCAGGGGGCTAGGACTGAGACACACAGAGCTGGCTTGGTTGCGAGCACGCATGAGTGCCCCCAGAGAAAGCAGCTTGCTCTGGGGTCACTCGGCAAGGGGGAGCGGCCAGAAGAACCAGTGGGGGACCTGAGAAGTGGAGGATTGGGGCTGCTTTGTGCAAAGCCATTGCACAGAGCAAGAACAGTAAGTATGACATGTTTGTTATTTTAAAAGAAAAAAAAATGTAACCTTTAAAACCACTTTTAGATGTATTTTGGCAAATCAGGGGATACACAGGGTCCTCTTTCTCCTACAACAAGAATAGCCTCCTGCGCATAAGTGTGGTACCCCTGTTGGTGTACAGGAGATCATATGGAAAGTCACATATAGCCTTGCTGCCCTCTAGGACTTGGGGGTGATTTGTAGTAAGCAGGAGAAAACAGTAAAGAGAGAGGGCATACCAGCCTAGTGCATTATCCAAAAAACATTCAATATAAATCCAAATAAAAACTACCATTTCTTCTAGGCGTGATGAGCATGTATTTCTTCTATGCTTGTGAGTAGTTTTAATTTGGATTTATAGTAAATGTATTTTTGGATAATAAAACTAGGCTGGTGCGCCCTCTCTCTTTTCTGTTTCCTCTTCTTCTTCCTATCTTCCTGTCTACCAATGGACAGTCATCAGTGATACAGAGATTGGTGCTGACATAAGTGCACAACATTGTACGGGGCAGACTTCCACAATGATGATGACACATCCCCAGGGAGCAAGTCCATGACACCCTGGGCTTACAGGAAGTGGGTTAAACGACACTGGGCAGACCAGAAAAAACTGGTGCTAGCCCATTGAGTGTTTATAAAAAAGGAACTGTGTTTCCTGACCTATTTAAAGATGAGGGCCATCATAACGTTCTATTGTTTTTGCCCTTAGATTGGAGCACAGTGCTACTTAGAGTGCTCAGCCCTGACTCAGAAGGGGCTCAAGAATGTATTTGATGAAGCAATCCTTACAGTCTTCCATCCAAAGAAGAAGAAAAAACGTTGTGGGAAGTGTCGCAATTCTTGCTCAATTGTCTAAGGTCATTCCCAGGAATTGATTGGTGCTATTGTACAGTGATGGGAGCAACCATTCAGAAAAAAATACTATGGAGTTGGGAATATCCACTGTATGAAAAAAACAACATGGAGGCCATGACCAGTGACTGTTCCATTCACCTCTGCGGAGCCTTTGATCTGTGACACCTCCATGTCGTAAGATGCAGTCGCTGTATTCCTCCATCTATTCCTCTCTCACTGTGATCATTTTATATGAATTGTATCTATACACAATATGTGCCTTGTTTTCCAATGGACATTTTTCACCAGTCACTGGACGTTTTAGCCGCACAAAGAAATTCATGCCTTACTTTGAACAAAAAAGGACTACAGATATTAAAGACTAGTTGTCAAAGACAGGATAGCATTCCTTAGTTTATTAAAAAAAAATGCATCCATTTTCTAACACTATTAGATTAGTACCTTGGAGCCATTTTATTATGGTACAATACATATTTTTAAAGGTCAGTTTCTGTTGCTTCACCGAAAACCATTGTTTGTGTTTTAGTTAAACTGTTACCTGTGTGTTAAAAAAATAAATAAATGAAACCTTCCTGCCTTATTTTTTATCAGTTTGTTGCATTCAGAGTTTCCTGACTACAGACCATGACAATACCTAAAATTCAAAATGGCGGTCCAAGGTAGAGATTTTATCTGTACAGCTGCCAACCAAGTGAGATGTCCGGGCCTTTGAGTTTTTTATGTTTGACATAATTTCAGTTAAAGCAAATGGAGTCTGAAAACCAAGCTTGTTTTAAGAAATCCGTGGGACCACATTTACATTGGCCAGAAGGGGCATTGGTGATTTGGAATCTGGTATAATTCAGCACTTATGACTAAAAAGCACTAAAAAACACATGAATTGTACATTATAAAATGCAAGAAAAAACATAAAACAGAGAGGGCGCACATACCTAGTGCACGGGGGTACAGTCGCAGATGGGGGCATTGTCCTGCGTGAGTGCATTTTCTGCTGGAGTGCAAATAGCAGTTGAACACAGCTCCCTGATCATGTCCTCTCTGCTTTTTCACAGGTAAATGCTGTTATGTGATCTCCACTTTAAATTGTCTCCCTGCTACGCACTGACTTTCTGCATACTTAGGGTAAATGCTGTTATGTGATCTCCACCTTAAACTGTCTCTCTGCTACGCACTGACTTTCTGCAAACTTAGATTAAATGCTCTTATGTGATCTTCACCTTAAACTGTCTCATTGCTATGCACTGACTTTCTGCAAACCTCAGGATAATTAATCCTTGATCTTTTTGTCTGTTTGTGGTGATTGATTCTCACCTCCTTTGCCTTTCTGTGATCAGAGAATCAATCATCTTTGATGACTTTGGCCTGTGTTTGTGTCTGGTCTGATTTTGACCAACCTCCCCCAAATTCATGTGATCCTTATCAGTTCCTAATTGGCAAAGAGGGGTTGCTCATTTGATCATCTTCCTATAAATTTAGACCAGCTTATGGGGGAGGTCACAGACAGCGGGTGCAGTCGCAGAGAGGGGAATTGTCCTGCGTGAGTGCATTTTCTGCTGGAGTGCAAAACAGCAGTTGAACACAGTAGTGTATTTTCTGCTGGAGTGCAAAACAGCAACTGAACACAGTAGTGTATTTTCTGCTGGAGTGCAAAACAGCAGTTGAACACAGCAGTTTAACTAAAGCAGGATAACTCAAGGAGAAGGAAGATACAACAAAGAACTCAGCGGGAGTAGAAAATGTCCCGGCATCAGTGGGATTAAAAAAAACAAGGTAAAATAGTGCCCCAATCATTGGTGTCCCTGGGAGAAATTATGTCCCATTGTTGGTGTTAGTAGACGGAATAGTGCCCCATCATTGAAAAGAGAGCATTAGCAGAATTTTGTCCCACTGTTGGTGTTAGTTGAAGGCATGGTGTCTCATACTTGGTGTCAGTAGGAGGAATAATGTCTCATATCAGTAGGAGGAATGGTGCCCCAAGGGCCAGATAAAGATAAGCATCCACAGTTTGTAGACCACTAATCATTAAATCATTAAAAGGAGCAGGATGGAATTTTTTTTATTGAAACAGATTTCTAACAAGGTATGAATTTTTCATTTGGGAAAGTCAAATGTAAAAAAAAAAAAAAATTAAAAAATGTGAAGAACTTTGGAACAAAATTTGTTAAGTCATCGAATGTACTATGAATTTTCATACGATTGTTTATACAAACATGCCTTTGAAAATTCTAATAGTGTTTTGCTAGCTTTACAAGGGGCCTGACTTCCAAAGCTGTCATATGTAATATTGCATGCATGTTGACACATGTGAAATTAAAGGCAATGTTTTATGGAATTTTTTGTGATATTAATGTCTGATTTGCAAAAAATTCTTACAAGGTAAAAATCTAAAGCAGCTTTGAGTTAAACAAGTGATTGCATGGCCCGATGTTGCTTTCATCATTTCACAGGAACAGAGTGGGATTTGACTAAAATTTAAAAAAAATATTTAATGCCTTTATCTCTGAATAAGGTATACATGCAGAGAGCAAAAGTTCTCCCCTCATGCCCCAGCTTCTACTAGAAGCGAGGAAACCCCAGTCAGGCAATGGTATTTAGGGTGTAGAATGCTTACATCTCTACAGAACAAACAGTTCTGTCTCCCTGTTAAAGTAAGCAGAACAATAAAAGATTGTCTGGTAATTAAACTATATTTCAATGGGCTCAGAGAAAGAAAAACTCCTGTATCAATGCTTTGGGCATATTGTATCATAAACGTGATTTTTTTTTTTGGCCCAATTAATGCAATTATATATGTATAAACAGAGCAAGCTAGATGGTAATGAGAATTTCTTAAAGCGCCTCACACTCCGTAGTTGCAGTAGAGCAAACCCCACAGTCACATCTGATGGCCACAGGGTAAGTGAAGAATGGGTCCACGCTGGGCAGGCAGTTTGGCAATTTCACAGTAACCAGCTTAGTTTCGTTGTAGGTGCAGACTCTGTGATAAGCATCTATGTAGGGTGGATCTAGGATAGGTTTCTGTTATAAAAAAAAAATCAAGTTACTTTTTATTTTTTTAGAAATTAAAAAAGATTTAAGATACCTACAACAAACATACTGTATGTGGGGGCACTACTAAGCCTGTGAACAATAGAAGGGAATGTTCAATAGCTATATCTATTTATTTATTAAGTTAGCAAATATCCCTTAGGGGGCAGCCTATACATGGGACACAGGTCTGAAATGTAATTTATCATCAGATTATCTGTGTGCATAGCCCAGGGGTGTCCCAACTATGGCCCTTCATCTATTGAAGTACTACAAGTCCCATCATGCCTCTGGGTGTCTTGCCCGTGGATGTCAGAGTCTTGCAAGGCCTCATAGGACTTGCAGTTCCTAAACACTTGGAGGGCCATAGTTTGGACACCCCTGGCATAGCCCAACTGCCATCTTATAGGGTACATACATAGAATTTCACTCAGCCCTGACCTCAAATCTACTAAACACCTTTGGGAAATACTCCCAGAAGAGTGACGGCTGTTATAGCTGGCAAACTCCATACCGAATGGACTACAAAAAAATGGTGTAGCGCTAAATAAATACTAACGTGTGCATTAATCAATAATCAGACAATGCAAATACATAAAATATACCGTGTCAACATAAATATGTGAATAAATACAAAAATATATGATATATACAGTGCAACCCCAGCAGTATGTATATCCCCAATCTGGGGAATCAAAAACAAAAAAACGTGACCAATGTGATTCCCCCTTCAGGAATACAAATATATATACAAGTGCAAGTGTACAAACATCAAAACCACACTAAGTGATGACTAATAAATGTCCACTTAATAAACCAAAAAATAGGCTGATTGGTGCACCACACAAATGACTCGCGTGTCGATAATTTCAGCACAACGTGAGGTGACTATAGAGCCAAATAACTCGTGAATCCTTAAGTGGCCAAAGTGCCCCCTCACCTCCTTTCAGTGACCAAAAGGGCCAGCTTGCTTTATGGATAAGCCACGCTTTCACAAGGATTACCACGTCATCAAAAAGGACCTTCCTGGATACTCCCGCAGACTATTACTCCTCCTGAGCTCTCATAAACAGTTGCTCACACAAAAGGATCATAACAAAAATAAACAAAGATCCTCCATAGTGTGAATCCATATTTAATCCATCAAATATATATAAATAAATGCCCACTCACATGATATACAGGAATGTTCAGGTTTTCCCCATACTATGGGTGTATTGGCATGGTTCCTGGTGTTCCAATATGGCGCCCACGCCGTAACTGATGTCACCGCGCACCGGAAGTCCTGTCACTGCATACTGACGCGTTGCGTCACGATCACGTGACTTCTTCAGGGTATACCCTGATACCCTGAAGAAGTAACGTGATCGTGACGCAACGCGTCGGTACGCAGTGACTCAGCTTCCGGTGCACGGTGACGTCAGTTCTGGCATGGGCGCCATATATTTTATGTATATTTTATGTATTTGCATTATCTGATTATTGATTAATGCACACGTTAGTATTTATTCAGCGCTACACCATTTTTTTTGTAGTCATTTACTTTGTGGTTGAAGGTAGGTGTCAGCAGCTAAGGGTAGGGACCGTCCATTTAAGCACAGGGGTTTTTTCTATTCCATACCGAATGGGTTATCCAACAAGCTCATAAATGTCTCATGGTCAAGTGTCCACAAACATAGAAAGATAGCTAAAACCTATCTAGCAGAAGTGGAATTATGGAAAAGACTATTTACTAAAATCATTTAAAGGTGCTTACCTCCCAAGTTTCACAGCGCCCCCAACAGGCATCTGTTGTAACACGCAAACCCTTACAGCCCGGTTTCTTAGCCAAGAAGGTGAATTCCCTAACAGCACAGCCAATGAATGTTCTCAGGCTGAAGTTGGAGATGGCCAAAGTACTCAAGCAGCTGTTTAAAACCAGAAGTTGCAGGGAAACCAGGACAACACTTTTCTGATTCATTGTTTACAAAGGCCACTTGTTACCTACATAAAACAATGATAAATCAAGAAGAAGTGTGAAAATACAATAACCATGTATGCCCAAATAGGCCCATATATTCAAATTTTTTTTGTGCTCATGCTTTAAGCAAAGTCAAGATAGAACTTTCATTGTGGGCATTTTGTATGGTACAGACATGCAGTTTTTCCCCTCACAAAAGAGGTTGTGAGTAGTAGAAGCCAAACAAGTGAATCCATTATAGCAAAATGCATATTTATATACAGGTGAAACTTGAAAAATTAGAATATCGTGCAAAAGTTCATTTATTTCAGTAATGCAACTTAAAAGGTGAAACTAATATATGAGATAGACTCATTACATGCAAAGCAAGATAGCTCAAGCCGTGATTTGTCATAATTGTGATGATTATGGCTTACAGCTCATGAAAACCCCAAATCAACAATCTCAGAAAATTAGAATATTGTGAAAAGGTGCAATATTCTTGGCTCAAAGTGTCCCACTCTAATCAGCTAATTAAGCCATAACACCTGCAAAGGGTTCCTGAGCCTTTAAATGGTCTCTCAGTCTGGTTCAGCAGGAATCTGTCAAGGTCCTACCTTTTCCCTGAGGTTATGTTACTCCATGTGCTGGCGTCCATCTTGGACTCTGCTGTGCATGGTGGGAATCCTTTTATGCCTTCTGGTCTCTGAGGTCCATCCCCCAGAGGGGTGTGGCTGATGACATATAAGCCTGTGGCCCGCACATGCTCTTTGCACTTGTGTCTTGTGTCTTTGTCTTGCTACAGCTCTGTGTATATGCTCGTGACTCTTCTGGTATTTGACTTGGTTTGTGACCTGACCATTCTCTGTGTTTTCCTTCGATCTGACCCTCCGTTGCTGAACCCGGCCCGTGACCTGTTATTCTCTGTCTACTGTTCTGTACCGTTTTGTCCCGTTGTTGTCGACCCAGCTTGCCTGACTACGCTATTGTCATTCTCACCAGCTACACGCTATTGGTGGCGGCCATTACCGCAGCCGGGGTGTCTCAGGGGCAGCGACCTGGTTCCTGGCTGCGTCAAGTCCATCCCCACCATCAGGGGCCCTGGTGAAGGGCAGCCTGGGACTTAGACTCCGCGCCCTGAGGGACTTCGGTCTGTTGGTGGTGGTTGTCGTCAGCCAGTGCGTTACCCTGCCACTAGGCCTACCTGTCCATTCCACAGCCCTGCCCTGACAGAATCACAATCATGGGAAAGACTGCTGACCTGACAGTTGTACAGAAAACCATCATTGACACCCTCCATAAGGAGGGAAAGCCTCAAAAGGTAAGTGCAAAAGAAGTTGGATGTTCCCAAAGTGCTGTATCAAAGCACATTAATAGAAAGTTATGTGCAAGGGAAAAGTGTGGAAGAAAAAGGTGCACAAGTAGCAGGGATGACCACAGCCTGGAGAGGATTGTCAGGAAAAGGCTATTCAAAAGTGTTGGGGACTTTCACAAGGAGTGGACTGAGGCTGGAGTCAGTGCATCAAGAGCCACCACACACAGACGGATCCTGGACATGGGCTTCAAATGTCGTATTCCTCTTGTCAAGCTGCTCCTGAACAACAAACAAAGTCAGAAGCGTCTTACCTGGGCTAAAGAAAAACAGACCTGGTCTGCTGCTCAGTGATCCAAAGTCCTCTTTTCTGATGAGAGCAACTTTTGTATCTCATTTGGAAACCAAGGACCCAGAGTATGGAGGAAGAATGGAGAGGCACACACTGCAAGATGCTTGAAGTCCAGTGTGAAGTTTCCACAGTCTGTGTTGATTTGGGGAGCCATGTCATCTGCTGGTGTTAGTCTACTGTGCTTCATTAAGTCCAGGGTCAACGCAGCCGTCTAACAGAAGATTTTGGAGCACTTCATGCTTCCTTCTACAGATGAGCTTTAAGGGGATGCTGACATAATTTTCCAGCAGGACTTGGCACCTGCCCACACTGCCAAAAGCACCAAAACCTGGTTCAATGACCATGGGATTACTGTGCTTGATTGGCCAGCAAACTTGCCTGACCTGAACCCCATAGAGAATCTATGGGGCATTGCCAAGAGAAAGATGAGAGACATGAGACTGAACAATTCAGAAGAGCTGAAGGCTGCTATTGAAGCATCCTAGTCTTCCATAACACCTCAGCAGTGCCACAGCTTCCATGCCACGCCGCATTGAGGCAGTAATTGCTGCAAAAGGGGCCCAAACCAAGTACTGAGTACATATGCATTGCTTATACTTTTCAGAGGTCCGATATTGTTCTATGTACAATCCTTTTTTTTGTTGATTGCATGTAATATTCTAATTTTCTGAGATTGTGGATTTGGGGTTTTCATGAGCTGTAAGCCATAATCATCATAATTATGACAAATCATGGCTTGAACTACCTTGCTTTGCATGTAATGAGTCTATCTCATATATTAGTTTCACCTTTTAAGTTGCATTACTGAAATAAATGAACTTTTGCACAATATTCTAATTTTTTGAGTTTCACCTGTACAAGACAGCTATAGTACTAAGGTTTCCTTGTAAAGCCATTGTTAGCTTTGTTTTACCTTCAATTATTTTTTACATTTCTAACAACTCAGAACAAAAGTTGTTGGGCAAAGTGAAAAATGGTGAAAAAAATGCAAACTACAAAACAAATGATTAAGGCTCCATGCACACAAAAATGCTGGGAAAAAAATGCTGGATAGAAAACACTAGTAGTAGCATTTTAGTAGCGTTTAGGGGTGTTAGTGTTTAATTAGTGTTTTTACAGTACATGTAGAGGAAATGCTAGAAAAAAGCTGTAAGCAGCGTTTTTTGAGCATTTAGGAGCATTTTGCGGTTTATTTTCTGCTGGAAAAATGCTCCAAAAACTCTACAGAACAATTTTTTTCTGCTCCTAGATGCTGAAGCTCAAGAAATATTAATAGCCTAAAATAGTGTGCATGGAAACATAGGATAACACTATTTAGCTTCTAGGAGTTGGAAAAAAAAAGCTAATAACAGCTGTAGGAGCTTAAAAAAATGCTAGTGTGCACGGAGCCTAAACATAACAAACATGCCACCGTGAGGAAAGATCATTCTACAGCCTTTAAAAAAAAAAAGTCAGATTTTAGGTGGTGTACATTATCACCAAAATTTTCAAAAGAAAAGCTGTCTATGGCCAGGTTTAGACAGTTATAACATTAAGTTTTCCCCCTTCCTCCTCAAGTGAATAATCAAAATTTTGGATTCTCCCTCATTTTTAGTCCCAGTGACAATGGTCACCAGAACACAGAGAGGCTGGATCCACCCAACAGTGATACATACATCAAAAAAGGAAAAACAAAATGACATGGGTTCTAACTCTTCACTGATCCATTTATTTATTTTTTTTAATCTAGATACCTTGTAAATAGATCTGATAAATATTTTACATTGTTTTTTGCATTTTTATTTGCCTTGAAAAAAATAAAATGTTCCTATTCAGCCAAATAAGTAGAAATCATGTAAAGCTTCATGATATCGCTTGCGTCTTCACAGATAACAATTGTAAATATGACTCTTGCAGTGTACAAAATAATGTACATAATGCCGTATTATACTCTCTCTCTCTCTCTATCCATTCAGTTGTATCTGTCCCTTGGTGATTGCATGGACTGTAACTTGTAAGTGACTTTTTCCATGAATTCTCTTAGCAATTATTTTACAGGGTAGGTTGCCAGGTCTTTCCCCAACCCCTACCATGCAGGAGATCCCGTGTGGCCAGGGATGAAACTAGGACAATTTAGACAGGAGCCAATTAACCTACCAGCATGTCTTTGGAGTGTGGGAGGAAACCGGGAGTACCTAGAGGAAACCCACACAAGCACAAGGAGAACATGCAAACTCCATGCAGGAGGTGTCATGTTTGGGAAATGAACCCATGACCCATTTACCGCACGGCAGGCGTGCTAGCCACTAAGCCACTGTGCCGCCCCCATATTATACTATGGAGCAGATTTCCTAAAACTGTTGCACACAGAATCTGGTGCAGCTGTGCACAGTAACTAATCAGCTTCTACCTTCAACTTGTTCAGTTAAGCTTTGACAATGAAACCTGAAAGCTGATTGGTTACTATTCACTGCTGCACCAGATTCTGTATTCACCGCTTTTAGTGAATCTGCCCATATATATATAAATTTCTACTTGGTTTAAAGTTAAATAAACTTTCTCTACTCAATTTGATTTGACTACATCAACAGTCAGGAAGATATAAATGGACAGAAAAGATGTGAATAATCACTATTGCTGGCACTGCAACATTCCTTTTTAAGATAAAGAAAGTAAAGAACAGGTATAAAAAAAAACAGGAAAAATCCCTCCGTAATTTGTTAAACTTTTTTGTGAGGTTGCCATCTCCATCCAGACATTCCTTCCTTCCCTGCAGGCTAGCGCAGCAAATTAGCTTAACAAAAAAAAAACATTTTTTTCATTATTTGCTTGTTTTAAATAACCTCTAAAGTCTGGCAGTTGAAGCAAGCTTCAGAAGTTAAAGAATGTGTACTTTTCTAACTTTTCAACCTAAATAAACAGAGATCTAAGAAAGCTATTTTGTTAACTTAAATATCTTATACAATACACTATTTTATAGAAAAAAAAAAACACAGGCTCATGTCTCTAAAAGTATTGTTTTATACTGAATAAATCTGAAACATGGATTTAAAATTACATTTAGGAATAAAAATAATAAAAAAGAAAAACCTTAGAAAAAATGTAAACAAATCATAAGTTTTCTATAGGTACATTATTATCTTTAACATGCTTGACAAACATTTGAAATGATCTAAAAATGTATTCACCTGGAAATTTAAAAAAAATAATGGTAAAAGCATCAATAAATCAAAACAAGAAAGACTCTGTTAACAGTCTATAAAAACTACACTTATACAACAAAAAAACAGTTCAAACCTTTTCTACAAGCTATTTTCTCTCTTGCTCCTTTGCTGATCTCTGCTATATCTTCTTGGTTGTTGCATATTTATATATAGA